ACAAATTTCAAGGTGTGAGGGGGAGGGGCCCACATCTGCTGAGATGCCCCCTGCTCTCTCCTCCCCACCCCTCTGCATCATGCTTGGGGCAGGGGTCACTCGGATGTTCTGTGCTGCAGGAATCTCCGCAAGGCTCCACTCGGCCCTGACTGCCTGGGCCCTCTACGCAGCCATCCCCTGCTGGGGACTGCAGAGACTTTAGTTGGGGGTGATTTAACTCAAAGGGACTTCTGGATGCCTGTTTGCACAGGACACCAGACCACTGAGTGGAAGTGATCCTGTGGCCACCACCGATGTGGGTTTGCTTTGCTGATGGCCGCAGTCCCAGCCCCCACCCCTCCCCCACCCCCCACCATGGCCTCACTACACCTCTAAGTGTTGGCACCATGTCTGGGCCCTTTCTCTTCTTGCACAGTGAGTCACACAGTCTTGTGCTTCCCCCTCTTGCCATCCTCATCTCTCTATACTGTCACTCTCACCAGACCATCCTTATCCTGTTCCTGGCACTCTTGCTCCAGGCTCTCCTCCATTTCCTGGGTCCTCTCACGGCAAAGCTGCCACCGGCTTCTCCCTAGAGTGTGAGGCAGAGTCCCTGCTCTTCCTGGCTCCCTCCCTGACGTGAGGCCACCCAGGTTCCTTCCCTGCCTGCCCATGCCTCGCTGCCATTGCCACATTGGCTGTGTTCTTGCGTGTACTGTTCCCACGGCCTGGAATCCTCACCCTGCTCCAACCCATCCCTCCTCTTAGGCCCAGGTCAGAGGGCTTGGACCTCTGGATGAAAATCAGCCACGACCAGGGGATTTCTCCCGCCTCTTGCATAGCTCTTTTCCTACTTGGCTCTTAAAAAATTAATTCATGTTTTCATTCAACAAATGTTCATGGAGCAGCGCTGGGCCCCAGGCCCTGGGAGCACAGTGGTGAATATTCTCAGTTGCTTTCCACAAACCTGACGTCCTGCAGGCGAGGTGAGAGGAGGTGCTGCAGGTGGCAGTGGAACCCAGCGGAGGGGACTTGAGCGGCTCCTCCTCGAGACAAAGCTCTCAGAGGTGGCCGAGGAGGTGCCAGTCACATCCAGCTCCTCCAGGGCTGATCACCCCATCACCCCAGGCCACCGTGGAGCCCTGTGAACACCAGGCCTCAGGACTGCTGCCCACAGGAGCAGCCGCAGTGGCTCCAGGTATGCCCACTTCCCGCGTCACCCGCCCACCCAGGTCCGCTGTGACTTTGGAGCGGCAGTGTTTGCTACGGACGGTCTGCGGACCAGCTGCTTCAGAGCTGTTCGGGTTGCCATCTCGTCCCACAGAAACCTAGATCAGGACCTTCACGTTCTGGGCCTAGAAATCTGCATTCTGGCAAGCTCCTTATACTAGATAGGATCATGGTCCCCAAAGATGTCCACACCCTAATTCCTGGGCACTGTGACTATCACATGGCAGAAGGGACATTTGGGTGGGGAGATAATCCTGGGGTTTCTGAGTGGGCCCAATTGAATGAGTTTTTAAAAGCAGAGCAGCTTTCCTTGGGGTCAGAAAGAAATATGACGAAAGAAGGAGGGCCAGAGAGATTCGTCATTGCTGGCTTTGAGGATGGATGGAGGGCCACAAGCCAAGGAACACGGGCAACCTCTAGAAACCAGAAAAGGCAAGGAAGTGGCTTCTCCCCCAGAGCATTTGGAAAGGAATGCAGTCCTGTCAAAACCTCAATTTTAGGGCCAGGTGCGGTGGCTCACACCTGTAATCCTAGCACTCTGGGAGGCTGAGGCGGGTGGATCACTCAAGGTCAGGAGTTCAAAACCAGCCTGAGCAAGAGCAAGACTCCCATCTCTACTAGAAATAGAAAATAATTGGCCAACTAAAAACATACAGCAAAATTTAGCCAGGCATGGTGGCACGTGCCTGTAGTCCCAGCTACCCCAGGAGGCTGGATTGCTTGAGCCCAGGAGTTTGAGGTTGCTGTGAGCTAGGCTGATGCCACGGCACTCTAGCCCGGGCAACACAGGGAGACTGTCTCCCAAAAAAAACAAACCCTCCATTTTAGCCCAGTGAGACCCATGTCAGACTTCTGACCTACAAACCTGTACCATAAATTGTTCTTAAGCCACTGCATTTGTGGTGATTTATGGCAGCAATAGAAAACCAACACATTCCTCATGTGAGTTTACCTACCCTAAGGTTTGAGAACCCCTGCTGTATAAACAAATCCACCCGACTACATGGTTTCACATGATGTGTGGTCATTAGTCTAAACCTCTCGATTCTAGCTCCTGCTACCACCTGCTTCATTCCCACTTCAAATTCTGGAGAGGGAAGGAACGAACAAATGAATAAACAAGTGGGACTGGCCCAGCTCATTGTTTTTCACTCCAGGACAGCCCACAGGATGCTGCCAGTGTGGATCGGCTATCCCAGGATCAGAGGCCAGTCTCTAAGACAAGGTACAGTGGTCAGTAGTCATACAAGAGAAAGAAAGAGGGGTCAGGGAAGACTTCAGAGGAGGGAAGCTGTGGGGTTGAGCCCACAGCTGTGGTTTTACAAGGACATGGAGTGGGGGGCAGAGGGGCGACAGCTCCAGGCACTTATGCTTGAGAGAGCAGGCCCTTCGGCAACAGGCAGCGTGGTGTTGCTGGAACAAAACCAGCAGGAAAAGGGGCCACCCAGGGATAGCAGCTGGGTGTGAGAGTTTTGTAGACCATGCTGAGGGACCAGCCCCTATTTGTGTGGGTTGGAAAGCCAGGAAAACCTTCGAGAGGTGAAGACTGATTGGCAGCACTTTGCGGGGTGGATTGGAGAGCTCTGGAGCTGGATAATAGGAAACATACTTGTCCCCACTCCTTGGCTCAGAATTCCCTGAAGCTAAAGTCTGGATTTAGTTCAGGGCTTGGCTGGAAGAAGTAGGGAAATGGAGAAATGAGGGAGAAGGTTCCAGAGAAGGAGGAGAAATCTTGATGCACAAAAGGCTCAATCATGCCAGGACCTTTAATCGGGAAAGGGCTCTTTTTGAAGGCTGTCTTTAGCAGCCCTTAGAAAGCAAATTTCGAGAATTATCCAAGACTGATTCATCTCACTGGTATTTCAAAGTACTGATAATTTCAGTACTGACAATTTAATTACAAGGAGTAATTAAAAACACCAAACTGCAAAATAAGCATAAGAAGATTCTACAACATTCTGGTTTTGTCATTTTTTTAAACTTAAATTCTTTCCAGAGGAATAGTTTGGTACTCAGCCTGGCCTGAGTGTGGTGAAAAAGGAGGCCAAAGGCATAGCCCTTTACCTGCCTCTGGCATTTGGAACTGAAGCCCAGCGAGTAGCCAGCAGCGAGGGTCCCCCAGTGGAGCACCCCCGGGACCCTGAGAGGGAGCAGTGAGACGGGCCAGTGCAGTCAGGCCTGGGCTGGCAGACTGAGGCACATTCATGCCCAGGAGTTGGATTTCAGTTCTAGAAAGGTAGGACACGCAACAGACCCGTGGGCAACCTGGCAGTAGCCACAGCTGTGTGACCTGCCACGCAGGCAGGTAGGTCCAGGCTGAAGCTACAGAAGGACCCAGGCCCTCCCTGCTATGGCGGCTGAGGCAGGCTGGTATGGGCCCGAGTTGAGAAGAAACTGGAAGTAGGAAGATTTTGGGTCTATAACAGGACTCTTCTTTAGAAGCAGGGAGGGGGGTTCGCTTTGTTTTGTGGAAACCCAGGAATAATGTCACGCAAGTGAGGGCCAGGTGGTTAGTCGGGATGCTTGGGCAATTTGAGAATGAATAGACTGTCCGGGCTAGAGTGCCGTGGTGTCAGCCTAGCTCACAGCCACCTCAAACTCCTGGGCTCAAACAATCCTGCCTCCTGGGGTAGCTGGGACTACAGGCACGTGCCACCACACCTGGCTAAATTTCTGTATGTTTTTAGTTGGCCAATTATTTTCTTTCTATTTCTAGTAGAGATGGGGGTCCTCGCTCTTGCTCAGGCTGGTTTTGAACTCCTGACCTTGAGGTGGTCAGGTTGTAATGTCCCTTCCCCTTTCCTAATTTTAACAATTTTAAGCAAGGAGGAAAAAAGATTTTGGCATGAGACTTCAGTTCCTAAGGGGAACACCACTATTCCACCACCTTTAGTATTTGCTTAAACAAATCTTTAGCTGAAATCTTATTTGAAACTTTAAACCCATCAAGTAGGGAAGGCTTTGCTTTTACAGCAGTTAAGATATTCTGCTTTTGCTGGGCATAGTGGCTCACGCCTGTAACCCCAGCACTTTGGGAAGCTGAGGCAGAAAGATCACTTGAGGCCAGGAGTTCAAGATCAGCCTGCGCAGCATAAGCGATCCCATCTTGACCAAAAAAAATTGTTTTTAATTATGATTCGCTGGGCTTTGTGACACACACCTGTAGTCCTAGCTTTTCATACTCAGAAGGCTGAGACAGAAGGATCACTTGAGTCTGGGATTTTGAGGTTACATTGAGCTATGTGTATGATCATGCACTCCAGCCTGGGTGACAGAGCAAGACCCTGTCTCTTTAAAAAAAAAAAAAAGGGTTTTCATTTCCTCATGCATGACATTGATGCATTAAAATAGCTCTTTATTATGAGGTTATGCAGTGCTCAATACATAAAATAAATTTCATTTAAACATTTAAAATACCAAAATACCGTGTTTCCCTGAAAATAAGACAGGGTCTTATATTTATTTTTCCTCAAGAAGATCCCTTAGGGCTTATTTTCAGGGGACGTGTTATTTTCCCCTCAAAGCCTCAGTCTGCAGCACGCACAGGATGGCCGGGACCTGACGGGGGGCTGCCCGTACCTTTCCGGTCACTTCTGGAATAGTGCTGTCACGATGGGGCAGATGAGAAGGGCTGCTCGTGTTCTTTACCGCTCCCCGACGAAATGCACAGGTTGTGCAGATGCACTGCGTAGCCACACTCGTCACTAGGGCTTATTTCCAGGGTAGGGCTTCTATTGTGCAAATGCTTAGAAATCCTACTAGGGCTTATTTTATGGGTAGGTCTTATTTTCTGGGAAACAAGGTAAACTCCTGACTATGAGCAATTTATCCTGATTACTGCTAAAATGAAGTTCACATTCGAACCTGAGAAGCCACTCTTCCATAAGGACAGTCAGTAGTTTAACAGTGCTGCTTACTATAGTAGTTATAAACTTTCAGAATCAGGGAATATTCTAGATTGCCCCTGGTGAGAAGTGCTATTCTTAGGCCAGCAATAAATACGCTTATGGGCTTTGACACCCCAACTATCGGTTAGTGTGTGGAAGTCCCCACCTCTCTGCTTCCCTTCCCAGCCTGAGGAGCCAGTGTGCCGTAAAACCTCAGCACCTCACAGCAAGCCCTGCTGCTGTCCTGGGGTGCTAGTGTAGCACCCTGTTCACATGCTTTTCGAGAGCAGGCCCTGCTCTCGTGGCCCCACCTTGCTCATCCCAGCTCGCTGTGGTGGGCGCCTCTTGAACCTGGAGAAGAACTTAACGGTCCCACTGGCCAGGGTCCTGCTCGTCACTGTCTTCCTCCGAGTCGGCGGACACTCTCTTGATTCTCTGGAGCGCTGCCTTGATGCTGCTCTCGAGGTCGCTGGTGGGTCTACTGCTGGGGCTCAGGCCAGAGTTGGGGCGAACTTTCTTCAGTTTGACCCCCTGCCTTATGGCAGCCAGAATATGCTCGTTGACTGAGGCTCGGGGAGGGGCCAGGGCGGGCACCTCTGCTTTCCGGAGAGGGGTTCTGCCCTCCCTCAAGGAGGCCAACACTTCATCCATGGATCCTGAAATGGAGTAACAGAGCACGTACTATCAGGAAAGCCTACGAGTTCTCCCCAGGCTGTCAGAACATCATCACACTAAAGTTGTAAATCTCACATCACTTAACACCGTGATTTAAGCAAATCATCATTGTATGAACTGCCTTGGTTACCTACTAGACAAGATCAACAATAGTTCCCATTTTGAATCCAGGAGTTTTAAGAGCTAATATTTTTGTTTCACTACTTACTATTCCACTAACTTCTTCAAATCCATAGCAACTTACAGGCACAGCCGTACACACCTTTTGTTGGAATGTTTCTCAGACACAGGTGCTGTAAGCCTCCCTGTGATCCTGAAGAGTCATGGGTGCCTGGGGTGGAAATGATCTCACCTGCTGTGCATGACTTGGACACCTCTGAAATTGGATCTCCTCCACTCTATTTCTCTAACTTCAGTCTTGGACCTTAGTGATAACTCATTCTGTGACAATGAAGTGAGCCGGTTTCCACAAATGAAAAGGCTTAAAGTAAGAATTTAACCAGCAGCTCAGTGAACCTGCAGCAGGTGGTGCGGGCACATTTGTTGGTATGTGGTGTGTTAAATTCTACCCACGTTACCCTAAGGTGGCTTACAGCCTTTATTTCTGAGGATGTTAAATGCTGTCAAAACACACATTAGATCAGAGTTTCGAGGCATGGTTGAGAAGCTGTTTCCACTCTGGTAGTTCAGACCCCTGAGGGGGTAAGATCTTTCTTCACCTGCTAGAGACAGGGGCATGGCTGTGGCCACTCATCTAGACATCTTCCAGGTAAGCCTTCAAGATTAATAGTCATTTCTAATTCAGGATTGAAAAGTAATGCAATGGCTAACAAAAAGCTATTTGATTTTGGATTTAAACCTATGGCTTGCTGTTATAATTTCCTTCTGGAAGTAATAAGTTTCACAATCAAGGACATTTTCTGGTGCTAATTCACTGTCTTATTCATTTCAGTGAATAGAAGCAGTGTTGAACAGAGCTTCCCAAAACCGTGTGCATTAAACCAGGGCTGGAAACTCGGCACCGCACATCCAAGGTCTAACCTAGACATAGGCACGCGGCACAGGCTCCTGCTTTCCATTCACATGGTGTAGCAAACCCCATGGCAACGGGCCATCTGATCTCCACCTAATGGTGTGGACGTTTTCACGTGCACCTGGTTCTAGGTACAGTGAAAACCTGAACTCAGAATAACCAGAAGCATAGTTTGGAACTGTCATATTCTTATCATTCCCAGCACCTATTACACTTTATAATTACACTATTAACCTTTCATATGCTAGGTGGAGGTGCCCAACTATATCTTTAAACACAAACGTACAAAGGTTTTGCTAGGATTTATCCAAGATACACACGCCCCCCAAAGCAGTAGATTCCAAGTCTAGTGTTCTGAAGCCATGCTCCTCCGTAGTCAATGTCTAAAGCCATAATTAGAATTATGATAACTACAACTCTATTAAACAAAGAAATAGCATACTATACTTGCCGAGACAAAAAGTAGCCCACTTTTTCTTTTCAACCCACTACATTTTAGAAAGATTTCCAAAAGCCATCTATATCATGGCTAATATTTCTCCAATAATTTCCAACCAATATTCTGCTTGAAATGCAACATGTTAATTCTATAAAGGGTTCAGAGCTGGAATAGTAAGCTTAATTTAAAGCTGTATTGAAAAATCTTCTGTTGATAATAATCAAATATATAGTAAAGTCTTAAGAAACTTGAAATTGGATTTCCGAGGCTGTTAAAGTATCTACCTAAGTCACGTGATCATTAAATGTAAAGAGATGGTTTCTTCAAACTTAGTTAGCATTTACCAAACTCAGGTTTAAAGTATATTAACTTTGCAGCAGCAGAGTAATATTCAAGGCACCAAATAACTGGAATATTTTAAGATACTTGAAGATGACAGCTTCTAAAGCTAGAATGCTTCAGCAGCTTACAACCCATGGGTGCAGGGACAGGATTCCAGCGGGTTACCTGGGCCCTGGAAACTTTCCAAGGAGTCACGTGGTCTCTCAGCAGGTGATTCACACACTAGAGGACGTGGCTGATCGTCTTTTTCTGTAGTCCTGAAGGCTACGTTCCGATGAGTTGGAGCTTGCGAGGACAAGGACAGAGCAGGGAGAGGGGGCGGTGGAGGAGGAGGAGGTGGTGGTGGAGGTGGTAGAGGTGGTGGCGATGGTGGCAGTGACACTTCCTCACTGGATTTGAAGTGTGTTTGGTCACCAACTGGAACAGAAATCTGGACAGGGATATTTCCAACATAGTCTGGACACTTGGGGGGTTTCACATTACTAACTTCAGATAAAGGAAGACTTCTGGTTTTCCTAGAGGACTGGTGAATTACTGCCACCGTCGGGGAAGCTGGTGAGGGTGTCTGCGGGGAAAGCCCACCTGGCAGGTTTGGAGTCACAGGTTCTGAGGAAGAGGTTTTTATTACAGACTGAGCTGGACGTTTCTGAAAATGAAAAATGGTTGTGAAGAGTTTATCACAAATACAAACCACTGAAATGCTGAAACTTTTTATAAATAAATCTATAAACACCGATGTGTTTCTATGCATAGATGGTCTAATTCAACGTGCAGCCTCATGTGGACAGCCATCCTTGCTACTAACTGTACTTTTCATGTGTTGAAAAGCAAGCATTTATATCCTTTGATCAAGTACTGCCTTCCCTGTAATAAAATGAAGATATCAAAGGATACAGATAGATGAAAATGTTCATATTTTTACTATGAAAAATCAAACCCTAGATAGTAATAAGTCTGTCAAAAATTGTGGCAAATTTATTCAAAATATTAAGTAGCCATGAAAAATCAAATAGTACAAGTCTGGGAAACATCTGGAAAAATCAGGTAATATGGTATTAAATGAAAATAGCAGGACACAAAATAACATGTATTATAAACGTGAAAAACAGGTCTACGAAAATACCAGCAGAGTGGACATCAAAGTGATGTAACAGGTACTGTTGATATTTCTTTAACTTTTAGGCTTAGAGTAAGTTTCATAAATTAAAAAAAATGAAAGTTTAAAATGTTCTGGTCTTTCAGGTATTAAAGAAAAACCTAACCCTACAAAGAACTAATCTCGAGAGGCGGTCCTTACAGAAGGCTATTTTATTAGCCAATAAAAGGTAACACTGTGGAGCCACTAAAATGAACGAGATCTACATACATTTAACATGAATATATCTCAAAACCATAATTCAAGTTAAACAGGCAAAGCATGCATATAATATACTTTTTTTTTTTTGAGACAGGGTCTCACTCTATTGCCCTGGCTAGAGTGCAGTGGAGTCGTCATAGTTCACTGCAACCTCAAAATCCTGGGACCCAGCAATCCTCCTGCCTCAGCCTCCGGAGTAGTTAGGGACTGTAGGCACATGCCACCACATCCGGCTAATTTTTCTATTTTTTGTAGAGGTAGGGTCTTACTCTTGCTCAGGCTGGTCTCGAACTTCTAAGCTCAAATGATCCTCCTGCCTCAGCCTCCCAGGGTGCTAGGATTACAGGCGTGAGCTATTAAATGTGATACTATTAAATGTAAACTTAAAACACATACACAGCACATAATTCATGATAAACTCAGTATTTCTATCTCCCTCACATTCTTCTAAGGACAAATAGAGTAATGGCAACAAGCCTCAAACCTCACTGTTGGAGACACAGTCATAGAGCTGTCACCCTGCAGCTGTCTGTCAGGGAGCATGCCAGGAGAGTTAGAATCCCGGAAACTCTGGGCCAGACGGCCCAGCTCCAGTGGTCACATCACCTGGCCCCTGATGTTAGGGATCCACCAAGGATCCCCTCTTTGGCATCCTGGCAGCAGTATGTCCCTGTGACTCGGGACTGTCAAGTTCTGCCTTATTGCTGGGCAGTCTGTCTACCCTGGACAAATTAAATCCTTTACCTCATGACAGCCCTTCAGACATTTAAAAAAACAGCAGCGGCTATCATGTATCACATGATTTTATATCTTCTCCCTCTCCTACTTACCCCTTCCAGATGTGCTCAAACTGGCTTTGCCCCCTTCATGGGTGGCACTTCTTGTTAAACACAGAACTTCCTCACTCTACAGAGGACGCTTCTGTTCATAAAGTCCCAAACTCCGAGAGCTTTCATCACAGGTCTGCAGCCCCCAAACCCTGGGCTGTGAACCGGTCCCGGTCCATGGCCTATTAGGGACCAAGCTGCAGAGCTCTGCCACCCCCTCCCCATCCCCCATCCATGGAAAGATTGTCATCCATGAAACTTAGGAAGGTGGGGGGCAGAGCTGCTCCCCATCACCTGTATCACTGCCTGAGTTCCACCTACTCACCGGCCCCTTAGAAAAATTGTCTTCCATGAAACCAGACCCGGTGCCAAAAACAGAGACTGAAGAAAACTAAACTCTCAAAGTCTTTGCCCCTAAATTTAAGCCACACGGATTTTCCTATCACCCTATGTAAGTGTACACCTCCATTATGTGCTTTTTTGGACTAGAAAACCAGTAATTTATCCCAATTTTAAGTCAACTGGTTAGACTGTAACTAATTATTCCAATTTGTTGGGAGCTTAGGAGGCCTGATTCTGTCATCTTAAATCTGTCTACCTCTCCCATTTCATGCCACCCGTATTTGAAAGGTCATCTTCTACACTGCCGAGCAACTCACTAACCTGAGTTGGGGCTAAGGAGACAGACTTGCAGCTGCCCTTGATCCCTTCTCCTCCACACTGATTCCACTCTGTTAATCAATATCCACTTGGTGACAGCGCCACGCAGTTACTCTGCACTGCACTGGCTCTACCCTCACCGTGCAGCTCCCCTTCCGTTCATTCCCACTGCAGTTCATGCCCAGGCCTTGTTCCAGCCCAGCTGAATCAGCAGCTCTGGGGGTGCAGCTGGGCATTAGTACGCAGAACTCCCCAGGCGACTCTGATGTGCTGCCTGGGCTGTGAGCCCCTACTGTGGCTTCAGAGTAGGAGAGATCTGGCTGCAGTTCCTGCTCTGTTTAACCTTGAGCTAAGTTGTGTGACCACTCTGAATCTTGGTTACCCAGCTGTAAAATGGTGATGAAAACAATATCTCACAAAGCTGTTGTAAGAATCAAATGAGAACGAATGTAAGGCACAGTGCCTGGTATGCAGAAGGCATCCAATAATGGCAGCTATTACTGGTCAGAGTAAATGACACCGATAAGTAGATCGCAAAACAAGATGAAGTTACATATTATGATTTATTCACTCCAGTGGCCCCTACTTTTGTTGGTATCACATGGCCTCCCTCTAAAAGCTATTCCAGAATCTTATCTGGGATGGAGTGGGTTGTTTCCTCTTTGGGGGTCAACTTAAGATTTTATGAAGAAGGGGGTTGGGTGAGATCAGGTCTATGTTTTACAGTCAATAATTTAATGATATTCTTACATAAGTCCCTATTCAGTTTTTTTAAAAACCTATTTACTAGGCCAGGCACAGTGGCTCACGCCTGTAATCCTAGCACTCTGAGAGGCTGAGGTGGGAGGATTGCTTGGGGTCAGCAGTTCAAGACTAGCCTGAGCAAGAGCAAGACCCTGTCTCTACTAAAATTAGAAAAAATTAGCCAGGCATGGTGGCACACCTGTCATCCCAGCTACTTAGGAGGCTGAAGGAGGAGGATCGCATAAGCCCAGGAATGTGAGGATTGCAGTGAACTAGGATAACACCACTGCACTCTAGCCTGGGTAACAAAGCAAGACCCTGTCTGTCTGTGTCTCTTTCTCTCTCTAACACAGGAATAGGTTTTTCCTATGCGTATAGGAAAAACCTATTCACTTTTAGATGAATGTTTTGAGGTGATGGATATGCTAATTACCTTGATTTGATCATTACTCATCATATACATGTATTGAAATAGCACACTGTACCCCACAAATATGTATAATCATGTGTCAATAAAAATAAAAAGAAAAAATAATTTTTAAAAAGGTACAGATAGGCCGGGCGTGTGGCTCACGTCTGTAATCCTACCACTCTGGGAGGCTGAGGCGGGTGGATAGCTCAAAGTCAGAAGTTCGAGACCAGCCTGAGCAAGAGCGAGACCCCATCTCTAATAAAAATAGAAAGAAATTAATTAGCCAACTAAAAATACATAGAAAAAAATAGCCAGCCATGGCAGCGCATGCCTGTAGTCTCAGCTACTCAGGAGGCTGAGGCAGGAGGATTGCTTGAGCCCAGGAGTTTGAGATTGCTGTGAGCTAGGCTGATGCCACGTGCACTCTAGCCTGGGCAACAAAGTGAGACTCTGTCTCAAAAAAAAAAAAAAAAGTACAGATAACCAAAAGTATAAAAATTTAAAAATAAAATAAACATTTATTTAACAGAATACTTTTACTACACTTATGTCATAATGCTTCCTTAGTAATGTTTTAAAGAATTTTTTTCTCAGAGACAGGGTCCTGCTCTGTTGCTCAGGCTAGAGTGCAATGGTATGATCAGAGCTCACTGGAACCTCAAACTCGTGGGCTCAAGTGATCCTCCTGCCTCAGCCTCTCAAGTAGCTGGGACTACAGGCATGTCCTGCCATTCTGTAGAGACAGGGTCTCACTGTTGCCCAGGCTGGTCTCGAACTCCTGGCCTCAACTGATCCTCCCACTTCAACCTCTCAAAGTGCTGGGATTACAGGCAATAGCCATTGTTCCTGGCCCATTTTAAATAATTCTTTATTACAAATGAGGGGAAAAGCCAGCTAGAGTCAAGGGCATTGACTATTTTTGGTTTTCCCTGCTCTTCTGAACCATAGTGGGCATGGTTAGCACCACTCAGTGAGGAGGGGAGAGCAGGGACCCAAATGTGTTCTCACATCAAAAACAGCAGTTTTATATCATTGTTTTTGAAACAGTGATAATCTAATTTTTTGTTTTTTGTTGATATACCATAAATAATGGTATTTTTGAAATGTTTCATGTTCTGAATTATCTGTTCTCAAAACTTTATACTTTTCCTCCTAGCATGTGTAATCTTCATTTGTTTCCCCAGAAAATGTAGGTGAGGTGATTTTTTTCCAGAACATACCTCTTTAAATGCTCTTAATCGTTGGAGTGTTTTTTGGCGTTCTTGATTTATCCATTCTTTTTTATTTTGCTCCTCTTCTTTTATCTTGTCTCTTTTCTATATTTAAACAAACATGTATTTGTAAATTGTTCAAAATTACAATAAAATATGTCTTAATACATAATCAAAATATGTCTTGCCAAGGAAAGGGGCTGCAACGCACCACCACCCGCCCTAGTCTGCACCCGGGCTGCAGGTCCGAGGCAGTAGAACTCCAGTTTCCACCAGTTTAGACACAGTGTAGGTGTCACATTATGTTACACAAATATAAAACATTTTCCTTCAGCAGCTTACCATCTGAATACTATGATGCTGATGAAAATATCGTATGCTTTCTTCAGCCTGCTGCAACCTGAGCCGATGGTTTTCCTTGCATTGATCCTGGTGGAATAATACAGATCACCTATGTGGTTTTTAATACTACCATGGTATAGCATAAAAGGTTAAAAGAAAACACCACTGCATTGGGGCTGCAGTGTAAGGCATTAATACTAGTTTCATTCATTAATACTAGTTTCTGGTGTGGCTCAGTGGTACTGCCTTCTCCACAGTCATATGGTAAGAGGTGACTGGCTGCTTACAGCAACAGTTTGTTCCTGCCAGAGTGCTCTGAGAGATGAAAAAGTGAGCCACCCATGAGAGAACAGACAGGCAGTCCCCCATTCTTAAATGGGGTGTGTCCTAACAATGCTTTAAAAGGGTTGTTTTAAACACATTTCCCTATAATGTTATAAATATTTCCAAACATACCTACAAAAGCATAGTCAACCTACAAACATCTGAAAAATTATGTTAAAAACTGTATTTCACCTAGGATTACCCACTCATTATATCTGGATGTGTTATATGTATAAAACCTTTAATATCCGTAGAAAATAATTCAGTGATAATACTAACATTTTTTAGTATGTTTTAGGTCCTAGCCTCAATGCCAAGCACTTTACATGCCTTACGGCATTTTATCCTCCTATCAGCCACGAGATTATATTATTACCATTATTATCCTCTTTTACAGATGAAAAACCTGAGCTCAAAAAAGATTTAAGTAATTTGCCTACAGTCAGTCATATGGCTACCAAGTGGCCAAGCTGTGATTTGAACCCAAATTAGATTCCAAAGCCTGACCTCAACTACCATTCTATGAACCCAGTGCCTTCTGAATTCTAATATTTGCAGAAGTGGCAAGAGCTCCCCTCACTGGGGAACGGGGAGGGACTGTATCTGGAGGGTGAAGGTTAATAATCCAAGTCTGGATAAGAGAAGGCACAGCTATCCCGCCCAAGAGGTGGAGGCATCCCCTCATCTCGCCACAGCTGTGCGGTGCCCTGGCAGTGCCGAAGGAGACGTCTCCCAGGGCTTACAGGTTCTCTGAAACATGGAGCAAAGGGCAGATGCCTGTCTACCTTCATATAATCTGAAGAACAGTTCCTCAATCCAGAAGCTCCAATACTTGAACACAGGCATGCAAACAATATTAATCTAGTGAAGTATTTAAAAAGCATTTATATTTGCATGAAAGAGTAAATGTTTTTGTAAGCTACAAAAGTCACAATCTTCATGTTTTCCTAATTCTAATAAGTATAATAAATATAAGTAAATACATATAAGTCTGGATACAAATGAAATACAAGCGCTTTCTTTTCTGTTAGAAATAATTAAATTAGTGTATTACCTTTTATGTATTCATGGAGTTTTTAAAAATTAAGAAAAAATCACTTACCAAATATAATCTGAAATGAGCTGATTATTATAGCTAACTTTTTTGTAATCAATTTCTAATAAAATATATTTTAGAATTTGCTGTATTTGATTATTAAAAATAGAGTTTCTATCTATTGTGATCTTAAAAAAGCACCTGTGTATGCAATGGGCATTCAACAGATAGTTTCTAAATGAATTAATTAGAATCTAGAGATTTGGGTAAATGCTTAAAATCCCAAAAGAAACAAAGAATCTTTTTAAGAAGAACATTTTTAATGTATTTTAGCTGCAGCCACTGATATATATATATAAACATTCAAAAAATTAATCACTGTTGGTAACACCTAATTTTCAACCCCTTCACCTTCCACAAAAGAAGAAATCCGGAGGAGGAAATAGCAAAGGCTGCCGTGGGCACACCCACCTTTCTGTTCCTGAGATAGGCCCTCCTGGCACAGAGCCGGCCCCGCCTAGACTCCAGCTGCTGGCACCGCTGGCTGAGCTCTTGCACCTCCGAATTCTTCTCCTGCAGCCCCCCGACACGCTCAATGACTTTAAGTTCCTCCGGGCTTTCACATGGATCATAATAGACAACTTCATCCTGTTTCTCTAAAAATGTATTGATGATTTTTTATAAAACACGTTTTATTATAGAAAATAATGCACAACTTTTTTTTTGAGACAGAGTCTCACTTTGTTGTCCAGGCTAGAGTGAGTGCCATGGCGTCAGCCTAGCTCACAGCAACCTCAAACTCCTCGGCTCTAGCGATCCTTCTGCCTCAGCCTCCTGAGTAGCTGGGACTACAGGCATGTGCTACCATGCCCGGCTCAATTTTTCTCTATATATTAGTTGGCCAATTAATTTCTATTTATAGTAGAGACAGGGTCTTGCTCTTGCTCAGGCTGGTTTCGAACTCCTGACCTTGAGCAATCCACTAACCTCGGCCTCCCAGACAGCTAGGATTACAGGAATGAGTCACCACGCCCGGCCACATAATATTTTTTTAACATAAGTAAAAATCACTTGTAACCCCATCGCTCAAGAAGAACCACTATTAACATTTATGTACACATTTACACACATACTAATTTTATAGCTACACATATCGACAAAGTTCTAACAGAACATTTTCCACGTGATGGAAATATAATTTTAATGGCAACATAGTATTCTCTAATTTAAGCATTTCCTGTTGTTAGACTGCTCCAATGTTCCATTATTCATTACACTGTGATAAACAGCACTATATATAAATCTTTGTGTACATTTTTTATCACTTTCTTAGCAGATAAATATTTAAAGCTCTTGGTATCCATTGCCAAACTGCCCTCCAGAAAGGCAATTTATATTCTACTGAATTCTACTGAAATTCACAGTATTTCATTAAGGTGCCTTACTGATATTTAATCTTGATTATATATTGATTTTTTTAAAAAATATGCTTATTGTAACAAATTCAAACCCTACAAAAGAACATAAAATAAAAAGTGAAATTTTTCTACCTCCTTCTCCAAATTTTCTGAATACCAAGCCCAGAGGAAGACATGAACAATTTAATGTGCATCCTTCTAGATTAACTTTTTTGAAATAGACTTTTTCCCTAAATATGGAAAATGCTTACAACATGAAAATGCTTACAGTATGAAACTACTGCAAAAAATTTTGAATACCTAGGATTAAACTAAATGTTCAGGATCTATATGAAGAAAATTATTAAATGTGGAGGAACTTTAGGGGAAACAAAAAAGATTTAAACAAATGGAGAGACATACCATGTTCTTAGGTGGGAGGATTCAAAATTGCAAAGATGACAATTCTCTCCAAAGTAATCTCTAATTTTAAGCACAATCCCAATCAAAATTCCAATGAGTTTTTTGTTTTGAACTCGATTCTAAAGTTCATCTGGAAGAATAAAGGAGTGAGAATAGTCAGAAAATTTGTGAAGTACAGTAACAGGGTGGGGTGCCTTACCAAACACTAAAATGTGCTTCCACGGCATGGTAATAAGAGAAGTATGGAGCCAGCACCAGAAGCCACTCACAAATCAATGGAGAATAACAACCCAGGAACAGATCAAAGTTAATGTTTTCAAATCAGTGATTGGGACTGCTAATAATTTGCGGGGTAGAGTTCAGTCTCTACCAGAGTCAAAATTAAATTTCAGCTAGGTTAACAAATTAAGTTTTAAAAAAGAAAAATCATAAAAACACTAAAATAAAATGTAAATATATCAACATATATTTTATATATTTGATATAATTTGGGGAGGAGGAAAACTTTGCCAGGCATAACACCAAAAGCAGAAACCAGGGGGAAAAAGATTGATAAATGTGACCTCATAAAACTTAAATATTTCTGCAAGGCAATAAAAAGCAAATGACAGGGAAAAATTATTTGCAACATATGCCAGACAATAGAGTGATATCCTTAATATAAGAAATATTCTAAGGAAGAATGGGCCAAGACTATGAACAGTGAGTTGATGAAATAAATACAAATGGTCAATTAACCTATAAAATTGTGTTCAATGTCACTTGTAAGAACTAAAAATTAGATGTCATTTTTTTCTATCAAGTAAGCAAAAATTTTTTCTAAATGGCATGAGTATGGGAAAAGATAAACACTCATACTTAGCTAATGCAAGTATCATTTTGTGTAACCTATCTAGAGGGCCATTATGTAGTATGAAATTAAGAAAACAGAAAATATACGGACAAAAAAAAATGTATCTCAAACAATTGTAGTGTTAACAGGTATATTATCAAAATGTAAACTATACATTGCCCTCGACCCAATATTCCACCTAAAGAAATTTATTCCAAGGAAATAATCTGTCCTATACACAAAGACATGTGTAAAGGCAAGTTCTACACCATATTGCCATTCAAAACTACAAAAAACTGAAAATCACGACATATCCATATAGTGGAATACTATGCAGCCATTACAATTTTGATATTTTTATTACTTACTGAAATGGAAAGATGGTTACTGTACATTAAATGAAAAGGAAGTTACTGAACAGAATATATAGTTTTGGCTAAAAAATTGGCCAGGCGCGGTGGCTCACGCCTGTAATCCTAGCACTCTGAGAGGCCGAGGTGGATGGATCATTCGAGGTCAGGAGTTCCAAACCAGCCTGAGCAAGAGCGAGACCCCGTCTCTACTATAAATAGAAATTAATTGGCCAACTAATATATAGAGAAAAAATTAGCCGGGCATGGTGGCGCATGTCTGTAGTCCCAGCTACTTGGGAGGCTGAGGAAGCAGGATTGCTGGAGCCCAGGAGTTTGAGGTTGCTGTGAACTAGGCTGACACCTCGGCACTCACTCTAGCCTGGGCAACAAAGCAAGACTCTGTCTCAAAAAAAAAAAAAATTTATTCAGCACATAAAAAAGTCTACAAAGTTATACAACAAATCATTAACACTAAGTATCTCTAGATGATGGGATTAGGGTAATAGTTTTTCTTTCTTTGTTTTGCTGTGTGTTAACAATGAATATATTATTTAAGTAATAAAAATACTGAAAGGAAACTTTAGGAAATTTCAGTAGATGTTATATAGATGTTATACATAACTTATTAGAAGTAACACATAACTTATTAGAAGTAACTGATAATAATGGTCTGTATTTCCTTATGTGTAATTTAAACATTTTAATCTACACATTTAAATATAAATTTTACCTTTCATAAGTCTTTTAATAGAGTCCAACTGTGTAATAAGCAGTATTTCTTCATTTTTTAATATCTCAAATTTAACCTCAAATAGTTCTAATTGAACTTCATAAAATTGTATTTCCAATTCATCTACAACGTCTGTATTTTTTTCTTTTCCTTGAAGACTTTCCATCTTGTTTACATGGAAAAAAGAGTAAGTTAAAATAGTTAGTATATTAAAAAGCAAACATTAGAAGCATTCTAACTATTTTCTATTCCTTGCTCATTACTAAATATAAAAAAGCAAATAGGGAAGAAACACTTTTCCATTTCATCTAGTGAGACAAAAATGCCTTATTCCACATTCATTACAAGTACTTTATCTCATCCTTGAAACATACAAAAACATTTAGGTTTTGAGAATAACAAATGGCAATGAGGTATTATGAGCTGAATGTTTGTGTCCTTCCCAAAATTGCTATCTTGAAGCTATAACTCCCAATGTGATGGTATTTGGAGGTGGGGCCTTGGGAGGTGATTAGGTTTGGATTATGTCAAGAGGGTGGTGTCCTCATGAGGGGATTAGCACCCTTCTAGGAAGAGAACCAGTGGGATGGCTCTTTCTGTCTCCACGCACACACACCAAGGAAAGGTTGTGTGACCACACAACAAGGCAACTGTCTACAAGCAAGGAAAAGAGCCCTCACCAGACACTGCATCTTCAGGGACCTTGATCCTGGACTTCTCAGTCTCCAGAACTATGACAAATAAATGTCTGTTGAAGCCACCCAATCTATGGCATTTTGTTATAGCTGTCAGAGCCAACTCAGACAGGAATTTACAGTGTTTTCTAATTTAAAGTCATCAGATTACAAAAAATTAAAATGACCGTGATCCTAGGATGAAGCATCTTTTTGATTATTCTAAAGTACTGAAAACATTGCTGGATTGGTTTTAAAGTATTAATATATTACCTGCTTGCATACTGAGCTCAGTGTTATGATACAGTGAATCCTACAATATTTCAAAAACATTTTGACCAAAGGGAAACTTTATGGCCAAAATTCCATAGTCTTTAGATTCTTATCTACTAGAACTGCAGTCCCCAACCCCCAGGACCAGTACAGGCCCATGGCCTTAGGGACAGGGCCGCACAGCAGGAGGTGAGTAGCTAAGCCAGTGAAATTTCATCTGTATTTACAGCCACTTCCCCTTGCTCTCATCAACACCTGAGCTCTGCCTCCCATCACATCAGCAGAGGCATTAGATTCTTATAGGAGCTTGAACCCTACTATAAACTGCACATGCGAGGGATCTAGGTTGTGGGCCCCTCATGAGAATCTAATGCCATGATCTGAGGTGGTGATGCTAGCGCTGGGGAGTGGCTGCAAATACAGATTATCATTAACAGATCTGACTGCACAGAGGCCATCATGAATCAATTGCTTGCAGACTCACATCAAAACCCTATCAATGAATGGGAAGTGGCAATGTAATAATAATAGAAATAAAGTGCACAATAAAATGTAATGTGCTTGAATCGTCCCAAACCAAACCCCCAACCTCTTGTCTGTGGAAAAATTGTCTTCCATGACACCAGTCCCTGGTGCCAAAAACCTTGGGGATTGCTGTACTAAAAGATGGTGTTAGAATAAGTGAAGAAAGGAAGCTCTTTAATAATGCCTGGCCAGAGTGCTATCTAAAATAAAAGAATATTTTTAAAACACAAGTTACATTTATCTTTGTCTTACCTTTCTTTGAATTGCAGCTCTTTTGTGATTTAAACACAACTCTGTGGCTCTCATGAGTTGCAGAGTCTCTCGAGCTAGCATTAGCTTAAGCTTTTCTAACCTGGGATGTGCTGTGGCCCAGGCAGCCTGGCCAAACCTCTTCCCATCCTGTTCCATTTGTTTCTGCATTCCTGATGAATTATAATTAATAAAATATAATTACAACTCATTAAAAAGGGGAATATTTATCATGGGCTAATCCTTTATTGCCTCCCATATATTGTCTGTAAAATATCCTTTTAAAAAGAACTTTTAATTTTATTTCAGTAACTTTTTTCATATTATAGAAATAATACAGTCATTGATATAAAATCTTAGGTACTCCATTTTTAAAAAGGTAATAAATCATGATCTGACCTAGTTGAGGCAACTGCTTCTTACATTTTGGACTAACCCTACACGGTCTCACCTCTGCCTGTCTTGCCAGCATTCTCCCTCATACCACATTCTTTGCAATCCAGCCCCATGGATTGTAAGTTCCTCATATTGGCCAAGTTCCCTCAAGCCAGAGGACTTTTGCAAATGCTATTCCTTCTGCCTGGAACACTCTTCCCTCACTTTTTGCCTTCAACTTACATTTACCCTTCAGATCTCAGGTCAAGCACCACTTCTCAGAAGCCTTTAGTAACCACCCTGATGCAGTCCAAGTTCTTTCTCACAGGCTCTCAGAACCTCACATTTCTCTTCTTTGTGTTACTTATTGCCACTGCCATTTCCATGTGCTTAAATATGTACAATTTCTCTCCCTCACCAGACTGTACAGTGTCTACTTATGTTTATCCATGCATTGAATTCCCAGCACTTATAAAACATAGTACCTGATGCTTAAGAGGCACTCAAATGGTTTTTGAATAAAATGAAAATTATATTTATCTCACTATTGCATTTTTTATTATCACCTGCTAATGCTTTCACTGTTTCCTTAAAATAATTCACTGTGATATCTTGAATAGAGACAACGGCTTCTTCAGCCCGTCTCGTCCATTCTTCGGCTTCCTTCTGCAAGACAGCTATCCTTCTGGGACCCAGGTCATCCTCATCCAAGGACTTCTACAGAAAGAAGGGAAAATTGTCGTAGTAAGAGATAACAGTAATGTACAACTGTTAGGAAACTGAAAGGAAATTGGTCACATAGATTATTTTTATTACTTTTATTACTATTATTCAGTCAATTAAATTTTCATTCATTCAGCAATCCCTTGCTGAGTATGAATATGGCCATAAGCTGGGCACCACCTGGAGGAAAAAAGCCTTCCCTTTGCATGCCTACAATAACTTTCTAGAGAGAAGTGCTATCAAGCTATGTTTCTATTAAGAATTGTTTAAATGTGATCTGTGTTGTTAAGAACTCAGCATTGGGCCTGGTACACAGCACTCAGCTATTAACTGTTGCTATGATTTTTTGTTGTTGTTGTTTTTGAGACAGAGTCTCGCTTTGTTGCCCAAGCTAGTGAGTGCCGTGGCGTCAGCCTAGCTCACAGCAACCTCAAACTCCTGGGCTCAAGCAATCCTTCCGCCTCAGCCTCCCGAGTGGCTGGGATTACAGGCATCCACCACCATGCCTGGCTAATTTTTTCTATATATATTAGTTGGCCAATTAATTTCTTTCTATTTGTAATAGAGACAGGGTCTCACTCTTGCTCAGGCTGGTTTCGAACTCCTGACCTCAAGCAATCCACCCGTCTCGGCCTCCCAGGGTGCTAGGATTACAGGCATGAGCCACCGCGCCCAGCTGCTATGGTTTATTTTAGGGATATGACAAGAAACTTTTCAATACTTTGGTTCTTTTCTGAAGGGCAAAAGTAATACAGCCACCTAAAAGATAGTAAAATCTGTATATTCAAGATTATGAGGCCGGGCACGGTGGCTCACGCCTGTAATCCTAGCACTCTGGGAGGCCAAGGCGGGCGGATTGCTCTAGGTCAGGAGTTCCAAACCAGCCTGAGCAAGAGCGAGACCCTGTCTCTACTATAAATAGAAAGAAATTAATTGGCCAACTAACATATAGAGAAAAAATTAGCTGGGCACGGTGGTGCATGCCTGCAGTCCCAGCTACTTGGAAGGTTGAGGCAGCAGGATTGCTGGAACCCAGGAGTTTGAGGTTGCTATGAGCTAGGATGATGCCACGACACTCACTCTAGCCTGGGCAACAAAGCAAGACTCTGTCTCAAAAAAAAAAAAAAAAAAATATGACATGTACTGGCATGGACTGTTTTTGTCACCCCCAAAATTCATAAGCTAAAGCCTGAATTCCCCAATGTGATGATATTTAGAGATGGCACCTCGGGGAAGTAATTAGGTCATGAATGGGATTAATCCCCTTATAAAAAGAGGAGACACAGACAGGATCTCTCTGCTCTTCACGTGAGGACACAGCAAGACAGTCATCTACAAATTAGGAAGCTGCCCCTCACCAGACACTAGATCTGCTGACACCTTGATCTTGAGCTTCCTAGGCTCCAGAACTGTGAGAAAAAAATTTCTGTTGTTGATAAGCAGCCTAGTCTATGGTACTTTGTCATAACAGCCTGAACTAAGACATGGATTGGTTGGTGCAAAAGTAAGTGCTGTTTTTAATGTACATTTCTCACTTTGTTTTTTCGCTAATGACTTATTACTTGCTGTATATTTTATATTTATCTAAGACTATGGAAATGATGTTTGACAAAAAGCAAATTCGAGCAAATTTCTTATTCAAGTTCAAAATGGGTCGTAAAGCAGCAGAGACAACTGGCAACATCAACAACGCATTTGGCCCAGGAACTGCTAACGAACATACAGTGCAGTGGTGGTTCAAGAAGTTTTGCAAAGGAGATGAAAGCCTTGAAGATGAGCACAGTGTCTGGCCATTGGAAGTTTTGCCTCATCCGTCATATTCAGCTGACCCCTTGCCAAGTGACTACCACTCCTTCAAGCATCTCCACAACTTTTTGCAGGGAAAACGCTTCCATAACCAGCAAGATGCAGAAAATGCTTTCCAAGAGTTCATGGAATCCTGAAGCATGGGTTTTTATGCTACATGAATAAACAAACTTATTTCTCATTGGCAAAATGTGTTGATTATAATGGTTCCTATTTTGATTAATAAAGATGTGTTTGAGCCTAGTTATGATGATTTAAAATTCACAGTCCAAAATTGCAATTTCTTGTGCACCAACCTTACTGCTACTACATCATCCAGCATCCAATTTTTCTTCTACAAAGTATGATTCAGTAACATAAGAAATATGTACAGGTCAGCTGCAAGGAAATACAAACCAAAACCACAATGAGACACTACTTCACACGCACTAGGATGGCTGTACCCAAAAAAATGACAGTAACAAGTGTGGTGATGATAGGGACAAATTAGAAACTCACTATTTTTGGGAATGTAAAGTGGTACACTTGCTATGAAAAAGTCTAGCAGTCCTTCAAAAGGTTAAACATCAAATTATCATATGACTCAGCAGTTCTACTCATCAGCACATACACAAGAGAAATGAAAACATATGTCTACACAGGAACTTCGAAACAAATGTTCATAACAGTATCATTCATGATAGCCAAAAGGGAAACAACCTAAATTTCCATCAATTGATAAATGGATAAGTAAAATGTAGTATTATCTAGATAATGAATATTATTCAGCAATAAAAAGAAATGAAGTCCTGATACATGCTACAGCACGGATGAACCTTGAAAACACTGTGCTAAGTGAAAGGAGCCAGTTACAAAGGACCACATATTGAATGGTTCCATTTAAATGAATGTCCAGTGTAGAGAAATCCACACAGACAGAGAGTAGATTGGTGGCTACCTAGGGTTGGGGGAAATGGGAAATGACTGCTAATGGGTATAGGGTTTCTTTTTGGGGTAAAAATATCGTAGAACTAGGTAATAATGGTTGCACAATTCTGAACATACTAAAAACCAATTGAATTGCATACTTTATTTTGGGGGAGGGGAATACTACAACTTTATTAAAAGAAAAGTGTAATGCATACTTTAAATGTATTGTCTGTGAACGAGATCTCAATAAAGCTGTTCCTCAAAAAAGAAAAAATATGTATAAGACATAAAGACTTTCCAAAGAACAGACTATCAAAATAATGAACAGGACAACTTTACCTACAGGTTAGAGTGGCGTAAGTTTCATCTAAACACGATGCCATTTTTATAGTACGATAACCTATAGGGGTCATGAGAGCATGTGTGGAAAGATGGCTTTGTGCAGAGGGCAGAGATCAAGAGATCACTCTGCTGTCTTCTGATTCCAGTTGTTGAGACCCAAGGCAAGCTATTTATCAACAACTTCTCTGGCTGTAGGTTCATGTGTAACACTGGAATAATAATAATGTCTTTTCTAAATAGTGTCACTGGGTCATTCGATGGCTCAATGAAATAAGAATGATGACAGTATTTACTAAAGTTTAAATTACTGAATTACAATCTAGGGCCCTGCTATTTAATTTCCATCCTATTTCTAAGAAATGTGCATGTGTCCTTAGAGGTGGAAAACAAGCTGAAGTAAATAAACATCACACTAAATCAATTCATCAGCAGAAAAAGTGCTTAACTCTTTAAAATTCACAGAAATCTTAAGGTATGAAGAGTGACCAACATAAATGTCTTCCTTTTTTAATCAATTTTAAACATAAATTCAATATTTAAATGTAAGAGTGAACCCAAAGTGCACAGACTGAACCTTAAATGTGACTAAAGAAATATGACAAATAATATATCCGATAAAAAAATATAAAGAAAACATACCAAAATATCAAGCGTACATGAAGTTGCAACTTCTCGCATATCCCTAAATGGCTGCAGTAAATACTGGAAGAATGTGGTTGCCGCAGTAACTAATTCCTGGTATGCTTCATCTTCCTCTTGATAAATTTTCATTAATGCTACCATGGTGTTGGCTTTTCCATGTCCTTGAAGAACCTAGAAGGCAAAATGTAAATAAAGCTCAAGTCTGGACAGTATTGTTTATAAGATCATACATACCAAACAAAATTAAAGAAACCTCAAAGTTCTCAACTTTAATACATACATTTTAAATAATGATTAAATATGAAAATGTCCTCCAACCAAAATGCCCAATAAAACAAGAATGGTTAAATAAATTATGATATATCCATGGCAGAATATTATTATTATCATTCAGCACTGTGCTTTTGAAGACCATTTAATAATATGGGAACTTTTATATTTTTAAATAGGACAGAAAGTAGAGTGCAAAATTTTATCTTAACTCTATACTAAGTATACAGAGGACCCAAAAGAGTCATCAAACATTAATAGCAGTTATCGTTGGAAAGCAGATGTTGGGTATTTTTTCATTTGACTTTTCTGACTGTAAAGGTTTTGTGAGGCTGTACACCTTTTTTAAAGGCTCATAAAGACATTATAGAGCTGTCTCCAAGCACTAATACTTCTCCAGCATGCTGACTCTTAAATCCCCCAGGTTAACATTCTCACCAAGCCCCCAGCAGAGTCCACTCATTTAAAGAGCCTAAATGTGGCTCTAGTCCCTCCTGAGCACTGCTTCTGATGCAGGATAGGAAATAAACAGTTTATAATCTAGGTGAACTCATTTGGTAGGAAATTATCTTACCCCCAGAAGAAGAGAAATAAACTCAAGTAACTGTAGATTTTTTTTCAAGCAATACATTCTTAAATTCTTCTATTTCTGTCCTTCTACTTAAGGATAAAGTGATCTACTTTCAGCTGTAGTTTCATCTAGGTGATTAGTGTTAGAAAAAAAGTGAATGGTTTGCTGAACAAAATTAAAACACACATATGCAAAACTAAACTTAAGGCAACTGATACTTTTCAGCCTTATTTCTTAGACTATTCAGAAAAATTTCAGAGTTAAAACATTCAGCTTCACTTTATGCATCCCAGCAATGCTAGTAATTGGTCTAATTCTAGAATCAATTGCTTTTGTATTCTAAATATACAGTATTAAAATTATATACACTTCCATAGATATGACATATTCTGTATTTAAACCTCTCCCCCGCCCATATTTAAGTTCCAGGTAAACATATGAACTACACTAGTGTGAACACCTACCTCAACAGTATGAACTAAATTAGTGCTACAATACCCCTGACCTCTGAATGAACTTCAATTTGGGAAAAGTGTAATTTTTCCAATAGTAACTACTATATAGATATTGTATAAATGTTAAGAGTTTAAGGAGAAACCACTTCTCTGTGAGAAACCAAGTGTCTAAAAAGCAAAAGTCTGATATAAAATAAAGTTGAAAATTAAAAGCTGACAGGCCTGAAACTCCCAAGTTGTTTCCTCTTAAGATAAAGCGAATTCAACACGAAAAGTGGGTGTGTAAATATTTACATATAAAACCCACAGTATAAAATGATCCCACTAACAAACTCCTTTTATAAAACCATTTTAATTTAGAAAGCTCATTCTATATTTAGCTTAAGGGGATATAACTAAAATTTTGAAATGTGGCTGAATTCTACACCTCCACCTCCCCTTTCTCAAAAAAATGCACAGAAAAATACCATTTGGGTTAATAATGGCTTAAAGGAGAAAGAGCAAACAGACAGGTCCAGGTTGTAGAACAAATGACCAAATCTTGGCTCTCCTTCGTAAATTCTGAGTATCGTATATAAGCCATATTTTCAACTCAACCCTTTTATGAACTTATACTTCCCTCTCCCCTTAGGCTCTGTAAGTTTACCATTCAAATAATAAATTGTACTCTGTCAAGCTACCTCTTTCAAGTTTAAAAGGACACTCCTGTGGTTGCTTTTCGAAACTAATGAATAAAGCTCACTTTCTGTGGGGCTTTCCATTTGACCAAGTCTTGATGACTTAAAAAACAAATCAAAAGCCATTTCATCCTCTAAAACATTTTATCCCCATTCTTGGCCTTCCTTCATAAGCACAAGCTGGACTTGCTTACATTTAATCCCATGTTATTATTTCCTACGTGGAAATATGGGCTCTTTTTTCAGTTTTGCTTTCACTATTTCTGGCATTTCTCCTCACAACATCCTGCTCAGCCTGTGTCTTCAGGGAGAAAAGGTTAAAAGCCCGGCCTAGCCTAGCTCCTACTTGCAAATAACCTTCGATCTAACTGGTCCGTCCGTCCTGTCTCCAGGCCTTCCTTAGGCTGCCCTCCCACAGGTGAGGGCCGGGTGAACGGGCGGCTCTCTCAGCGCGCCTGCTCCCCCTGCCCCGTCAGACGCGGAGCCTGCCCCCTCCCGGCACGGAGAGAACCCTCGGGAACGGCCCGCCGTACCTGACGCAGCCGCGCGCCCGCCTCGGCCCGCCGCGCGCGCAGGGCCCGCTCCCGGAACTCGCGCGGGCTCTCGCAGTCGGCCGCGCCGCCCTCGGCCGGGAAGAGCGCGTCGCGCACGGTGGCGCCGCCGCAGCCGTCGGCCGCGTGGCCCAGGTAGCGCTCCAGCTGCCGGCACAGCTCCTGCAGCGCCGCCTCGCCGGGGCCCGCGCGCGCCGGCCACACCAGCCCCCACAGCCCGAGCCCCGGCCAGGCCCCGCCGCCGCCGCCCGCGTCCAGCTCCGGCGGCAGCCGCGGGAAGCAGTGCTCCAGAGGCGGCCACAGCGCCGCCAGCTGCCGGTGCGCGCCGCGGAGCCCGGCGGCCGAGAGCAGGCCGGCCCAGCTGGGCGGGGGCGCGGCGGCCTCGCGCTCGGGCTCGGGCTCGGGCTCGGGCCCCGGCCGGCTGCCCGTGCGCCGCCGCCGCTGCGCCGTGCGGTCGTGACAGGTCACGGCGAACTTGCCCTCCGCGTCGTTCCAGGCCACCAGGAAGCGCAGCTGGTGCCGCTCGGGCTCGGCGAAGAGGTCCTCGCGGAGCGGCACCCAGCCCTCCAGGCTGTCGGGCTGCTCGTACTCCATGGCGGCCGGCGGCCAGCGGCCCCAGGGCTCGGCTCGCCCGGGCCAGGCCTCCGCGCACCCCCCACCCCACGACGGCCCGAGCCGCGACATTTTCCGCCGGACTCCGACCCGCGTCCGTGGCCCGCCCCGCACTTTGGATTGGCTGCCTGCGGGCCGCGGGGCTTCCGGCAGGCGTCCGGGATTGGTTGGGTGATAGAGGGATGGTCGCTGACAGCCAATGAAAAGGTCCAGAGGGTTACCTCCGACCCAGCCCTCAGCAATCAGTCTCGCGACCCGGCCCGGCGCCTGGGAGTTACCGCTCTTGCCTCACCTGGTCCGCCTTGGGACGGGCTGCCTTTGGGAAGACACTGGTCACATGGGCGAGTTATCGTCTTGGCCTCCTACACTGAACTGCGAACTTCTTGGAAACAGGGACCCGCCTGATTTTGTCTTCTGTCACGGCCCTACTGAATACACGCTTCCTGTCCTCAAGAATGCCACAAATGTGCTGGGGAGATGGAACAAAATTAAACTCGATAGTTATTTATGGAGGGCCTCTAAGTGCCAACCACTGGGTAGGAGCCACAGATTTGTCAATTCAACAAGCTTTCATCGAGTGTCTGCTATGTGCCAGTATTTTAGTGGGGGCAGGTAGAGGGAGAATCCAAAAAGATGTCTCTGCCTGCAAAGCAACCCAGCCTCCGACCAGAGTGCTTAAGCACAATATGTGTTCTAACTCTTCATCTTAGAGATAAAGAAAGTGAGACCCAGGAAAGTAATTTAAGATGTACCAGCACTCAGAGACCAAATAAGACCACCTGGCTACTAAAGACCTATTTAAGGAGATGCGAGGAAATCCAGTTTACATGGGGAAATGGAGTTTGGGGTGGAGTTGCATCTGTTCCTACAACAGGGAACAAGAGAGCTCTAGTTAGTCTCTGCCTAGGAAACACACAGTGTAGACTGAGAGGTACAGTACAGGACAGCTCCCATCCCGTGAGCCCACTGAGAAGGGTAGTGGTGGTGAAAGGAGGGAGAGAGGTGCCCAGGAAGCCAGGATCAGGAGCCCTTTGAGAAAGCAAGGCCTGCCGGTTCTTGACTCAGCAATAAGTGAAAGAGCTTGTGGAGGTTTTTGTAAGAATGGCCTGGCTGAAATAACAGAAAAATATCTAATCTCACAATTTTCTCATAACATCTAAAGATCAAGTTTGAGCTCTCCCTACTCTCTCCCAAGCTGGCAGGCACCCTGCAGGGACTTTGTTTTCACAGACATCTGAAAAGATCCAAAAGACAGAAAGGAAATGTAAATTGTTCTCTTGACATTCAAGGCTCACAGACGTGAGAATTTCTTTCTATAGCTTCCAGGTGTTCCTGAGAAGCTCTCCAACAGACAGCAGGAGGTAAATTCCAGGTCTTAGTTTCCTGTACAAAACCATATCTCAGGGGCAAAATCACATCCCCTGCAATAAGCCTGACTACAGCTCAGAGATAACCAAGACTCCTGGAACTTAGAAGAAACAAGAAACAGACAACCTGATTTCTCAAAGCTGCCTGCTAATTACTCTACAACAATTACTAGTTTTCTCTTTGTCTCCATAAAAGCAGCAAGCCACTTGGCCTGGCTGCTGGCACCACCCTTCTCTTTCTTTGGGATGCCGCTCCATCTCTCTCTTTCTTCCCCCTCTCTTCCCTCCCCGCCAAAGGATAAAATAAACTTTTTTACTTGTATATTGTAATCTCCACTTGAGAAATCCTTCTCTGCCCATGCCATTAACACCTACCAGGCTGTCCACTTAACAGTTTTAAGCTGGGAAAGCCCAGAATCAAAGCTGGACTTGCTGTTATCCCCAAGGTTAAGCAACAACAAAACAACAAACATGAAAAAAATCAAGGCCAGGCTAAAGCTCTGGTTAGGGCACCTCTGTGTCCTGAAGATGACTTCAAGGCATCTAGGAACCTCTGTAGAATAAGACTTGAAGGTCTAAAGCCACCTCTGTCTGAAATTCCTCCCTTTTATTGCCCGTGGTGGAGTGGAGGGGTTGGCTCTCAAATTCAATCACCCAGTCCTCTTGGAGAAATAACCTTTTAGCCGAAGTGATTTATCTTTCCCCTAAATATTTTAAAATATATTATTTTAGCTGGTATGATTTACTTATAATTTTAATAGTCTGTTTTAAATATCTTTTTGGTATATTCTTCACATTATGTCTTTTCACCATCTGTATTTGTTTTATACTATTTTATGCCTTCTAGTAGTTTTCTAGTCTATTTGGTTATTCAAAATGAAACTATCAATCTTTCTAATTATAAAAGTAATTTCCATGTTATGTGTATGAGAAAGGCATAAATTTGTATATTACTAGAAAAAATATGGAAAAATACACACCAAACCTAATAGTGGTGTTATCAGGATGTATAACTAGTTTATATATATATATATACACGTATATATATATATTTTTTTTTCTGTTTCTGGATGTGTCATGGTTTTTATTTTGTTTTTTATTTCAGAATATTATAGGGGTACAAATGTTTAGGTTACATATTTGCCCTGCCCAAGTCAGAGCTTTGTAGTATAGCTTGAAATCTGATGATTAAATTTCTTTTTCATTGGAATCCATTGCTGAAGAATTATTATGTTTGTTTGGCAGTGTCACATTTCTTTGCTTTTTCATGTTTCTTTTGTCTTTATACTGTTGATATCTGCACATCTGGTGTAACAGTCACTTTTTTCAATTTTTTTGGAAGGGCTTTCATAGGAGTAGACTTTTTCCTGAAAATGTGTCTGTGGTGCTAGTTGGGTGTGGCACTTTAGCTTTGTTTCTGGGTGCATGCAGTTGTGTTGTTGCTGTATGATTTCCTTGGCTGTGAACAGTGTTAGTGGTGTCTGTGATTTTCTCAGTGGCTTGGCTGCTGATGTTAGTGGAGGCTGTGATGATGCCTCACTGGGGACAGGGATGCCAGGTGGGCCAGCCCTTGGTCCCCAGTGGTGGCAGTGGCAGGATGAGCACACCTGCTTTTAGGCCCTGACACAGCATATGCAGGTGTCAGTGTTAGCAGGTCCAGTTGGGCTGATTCCTGGGGCTATGGGTGGCTGACTCTGGTGCCAGCAGTGACAGTAGTGAGCCAAACGAATAGGCAAGTCCTCGGACCCCAGGCAGTGTACCTGGTGTGGGCAATGGTAGTAGTGGTGGCAGGACAACCCTCAGGCTCCCAGGTGGCATTTGCCAATGTTACCAATGGCTGCGATGGGCTGAGTGGGTCACTCCCCAGTCCCCAACATGGTGTGTGCAGGTGGGTGCCAGCAGTGGTGGTAGTGTCAGGCTGGGTGGGCCCATCCTCAAGTCCCTGGGAGGAGTGCACTGATTGCAGTGGTGGAGGACTCAGCAGGGTGATCCCAGACCCCTCGATGGCATGCTTGGGCACTGCAGGGCAGTGGTGCCTGGCTGGGCAGGCCTGTTTCAGGCCCCTCAGTGATGCACAGCACAGGCTGTGGTTGTGGGTAGGGAGAGCCTGTCCTCTAGGCACAAGCAAGTGCATGGGGACCCTGCTGCTCCGTGGGACAGGGCTTCCATCAGTGTGAGTGGCCCCAGGCAGGTGGGTGGCTTTTTAGCTATGGGGAACTTTGCTGCTTTGTTTTCTCTCTTGAGCCATTGTGGTATCTGGCCTTTGACCTTTAGCTTTTGGATGATTTTACACTGTTGAGTGTCTATTGTGCTGATCATGTGTAACACTGTTCTGAGTACTTCATGGAAGGAAGATCTTCTCTTGATGAATTCCCTCAGTGTTTCCTTATCTGGGAAGGTCTTCATTTCTCCTTCATATAAGAAACTTAGTTTTTCAAGATACACAATTCTAGGCTAGACATTATTCTGTTTGAGAAGACTGAGAATGGGGTCCCAGTCCCTTTTGGCTTGTAAGGTCTTAGTTGAGAATTTTGTAGTTAGTCTGATGGGTTTTTCTTTGTAAGTTACCTGCTGCTTTCACTTACAGCTCATAAGAGGGCCTCTCTTGTGCTTATTTTGACCAGTCTGATAACTATGTGTCATGGTGTTTTCCTTTTTGTGATGAATCTCTCAGGAGTCCTTTGAGCTTCTTGTACCTGGATCCCTAGATTTCTAGCAAGGCCAGGGAAATTTTTCTCCATCATTCCCTCAAATAGATTATCCGCCCCTTGAGCATTTTCTTCTTCACTCTCATCAATGTCTATGATTCTTATGTTAGGCCTCTACATAATCCCATATTTCTTGTAGTCTTTGCTCTTTCCTCTTATTTTGCTGCTCTCTCTCTGTGACTGACTTGTTTAATTAAAAGGTGTTATCTTCAATCTCTGAGATTCTTTCTTCTGCTTGATCTAACCTATTCTTGAGGCCTTCCACTGTGTTTTTATTCCTTGAATAAATTTTTCATATCCAGAAGTTCTGTTTGATTTTTCTTTAATATTTCAATTTCTTTAGTGAATTTTTCATTCATTTCCTGCATTCTGTTTGTGGTTTCTTTGTGTCAGGTTTCCATTTTATCTTGCATTTCATTGAGTTTTCTTACAAGCCATGTTTGATATTCTTCATCTGTCATTTCAGTGTTCTGATTTTGATTGGTTTCCATTGCTGATGTTCCCTTTTGGGGATATCCTTTCACTTTAATTCTTCATACTTCCAGAGTTATTTTGCTGATTCCTTCTCATCTGGAGCAGCTTCTTACCTTTTGATTTTCTCTTGTTTAGATAATGACATGCCCAGTTTAAGCTCTAAGCTAGTAGGTTGTGGCTTGTGGGTGAGAATCAACCATGCCCTATATGGTGAGTCAGTAAATGCAGTAAAAGGGCTGCAAATTGACCTCCCTGTCAGTAGGTGGTGATTGCCAGGACAAACAAGCTGCAGTGGGTCCTGTGACCAGCTCTAGTTCCTCTGCAGAAGCCCTCTAGTGCCCCAGGTCTTGGGTAGGGCCCTGGAGCTTCCAAGTGTATCCTTGTTCTCCACCTCAGCAGGGGCAGGTGGGGGAGTTAGGCTGGGCAGGGCTGGGTTGGGTGAGCCTGCCCTCCAGCTCCACCCATCCTTTTAGCAGGGTCAAAGGTCTGTTCCCTGCCTCTGGGCAAATCTTCCAGGAAGGGGCTGAAATAGCCCCATTCAACCAGAAAGTCTGCTGTGGAGATGGGGCTGTCTGAGACCTGAAGGCTGGCAGTCTGGAGCAGGCTCTCCTTCTCACCCTCCCCTATTCCAGGATTTCTCCCTGGTCTCTGCTGGCAGACAGGATCCCAAGCCAGCCAAGCTCCCCCGCAACTGTTTTATGGGCTGGGAGGTTCCATGCTCCTGATCCTGGCCTTACCTGGGAGTGCAGCCCTCCCATGGAAGAAGGGGTGCCCAGCAAGTACACCACAGCTAGGACCCACTCTGAACTCTCACCCCTAATCTGCCTCTGTAGGCACCCATATCTCAGGAGACTAATTCACAAATATCCCCTCTGTGCCCTTAGGCAATATGATCCAAACCTGGGTGTACTGGATCTGTCCTGCAGGCCTGTCCCCTGGCCCTATGGATCAATCACTGACCATGCCAGGGAGAAGAATGCTGATCCTAAGTAACCCATGGGGTTCCCAAGCTGGTTCAATGTCCCTCTGCCTCAGGGTTTGTCCCACTCTGCTAGAGTCTCTGGGCAAGCAGCACCAGGAAGCGCTGATGGGTAGGGAGCTCACGGCCCAAGCATCCCTCAGTCCACTGCAGGATCCCAAAAGGAAAGGGCCAAGTCCCATTGCCTGTGGATGCCTCTGGGTTGTGGCTAAATTGTCTCTCTCAGCAGGCGCAGGTCGGGGGAGGGAAGGGGAGCATAAAGAACTAGGTGGAGGAAGGTCTGCACACTGGTCATCTCGACCCTCTCTCCGGGAGGCAGTCCACCCAGAATGACCAGGCTCTGGAGTCACTCAGATTGCCCAGGACCCACTGGAGCCCTATGGCTCCTGCAGTCTGAGCCAGAGTTGGGAAATGTCTGTGTGGGGACAAGTAAGACGGATCCTGAGGGATTGAGATCCATCTCCACCCCAGGTAGGACAAAAGTGCCCGTGAAGCAACATGGTGCCTGCTGACCAGCTCAGGTCTGTGGGACAGGAGGTGTCCCCGGGGCACTTGGGAGCCAGGTGCCCTGTCTGCAAGAAGCTTTCCGCTTACTGGCAGCAGCAGTCTGTGGGCTGGTGTTGGCAGGTTACTCAAGCAGCTTGGGACCCCACCAGCAGTTTGAAATGCAAGGGAGGAGAATTTTAACTGTTCCACCTACCCTTCTGGCTGGTCTCCAAGCCTCTTGGGGCTTAATCCTTGCTGATGCCATTCTCCTTACAGCTCTGCTCCGCAACCTCTTCCCGTGGAGTCTCCTATAGTTACCTTCCAACCCTCATCTGATCTGTGTTTGTCTGTATGATTATTTTCTTCTCTTCCATCTAAAATTTCTCCTTCTTGCAGAGACGCTCTGGCTGGTGGTGGTTCTTGTCTGCCATCTTGCCTCCTCTAGTTTATATTTACTTTATGGTTCTTTGGTTGTATTTGCTTTTTTCTAAGCCAAATAGCATATAGTACTATTATAACAACAAATAAAGATTTAGAAATAAAAGATGTATATGATTATTATAAAAATAGAGACTATCAAAGACATAAAGAAGAAAGTAAAAT